GCACTTTGCCCTGTTCCTGCTTCAAATGGGGCGGATTCAGAGCCTGGCATCACTTGATGCTCGCCAGGGGAAGCGCAGCCCTTTCACCGCTCTCTGATGCTTCAAAAAATAGAATTTGAAGGCTTGAAGGCTTTTACCCTCCCCCTGGGGGGGTTACTGAGCTTCTAAGGCACAAAATGAGCAGCTGCAGGAGTGGCCCCATCCTCCTGCTAGAAAATCAAGGAGCCTGGGCCCCATCCCGACCTGGGCAGGGGGGGGCGTGTGGGGGGGTGGAGGGTTGAGGTGTGCTGGGCATCGAGCTAGGGGCTGGCAGTACCCATCCCCCTCCCCATTTTCAGCTACAGTGGCCAATTCCCTACAAACCCCTGTTTATAGCAAAGCCTGGCTGCTGGGGGGGGCAGAACCAATCCAGAAAATGGTTAGACAGACTATGGGGGGCCCTGCTGTGCCCCCCACCCCTGCCCCAGGCAATACCTTGTCCCGGCAGGAGGGCAGAGCCATGGGGCAAAGAGAGCAGCCAGCGCTGAAAGCCCCCCCATCCATCCCTGGGAGGGAGGAGATGGGGAGCAGCCTGGAGGTGGTGGTGGGGGGGAATCCCCATCACCACCCTCGCACCACGGAGCTCAGTCGTCGGCCACGATGGACAGAGCCCGCAGCTCACTCAGCTTGGCGTCGTTCTCCCGCTCCCGCTGCTCGTCGCTTAAGCCGGGCCGGTCAATTTGAGCCGTCAGGTCGCCGAAGATCTTGTGCATCTCCGTGTAGTAGACAACCTGTTGTAAAAGTGGGGGAGAAATAGGGGTGAGGGGGGTGTGTGTCTCCTTCCCCAGCCCGCCGTCAGAGCCAAGAGGTGCGGCACTGCCCGAGCCAGCCCCTCGCCTCAGCGTTTCTGTTTCTAAAATAGCTTCCTCCCATGTGTTAATACCACCCCCTTAGATTATTACAACTCAACACATTTTAATAACACGCTGCCCTTCTCTGCTCGCTTCCCATCTGGGGAGCTGCGTGCATGGGGCTGCCGCCGGCCCCCAGCACGCAGCTCCCCAGATGGGAAGCGAGCAGAGAAGGGCAGCGTGTTATTAAAATGTGTTGAGTTGTAATAATCTAAGGGGGTGGTATTAACACATGGGAGGAAGCTATTTTAGAAACAGAAACGCTGAGGCGAGGGGCTGGCTCGGGCAGTGCCGCACCTCTTGGCTCTGACGGCGGGCTGGGGAAGGAGACACACACCCCCCTCACCCCTATTTCTCCCCCACTTTTACAACAGGTTGTCTACTACACGGAGATGCACAAGATCTTCGGCGACCTGACGGCTCAAATTGACCGGCCCGGCTTAAGCGACGAGCAGCGGGAGCGGGAGAACGACGCCAAGCTGAGTGAGCTGCGGGCTCTGTCCATCGTGGCCGACGACTGAGCTCCGTGGTGGGAGGGTGGTGATGGGGATTCCCCCCCACCACCACCTCCAGGCTGCTCCCCATCTCCTCCCTCCCAGGGATGGATGGGGGGGCTTTCAGCGCTGGCTGCTCTCTTTGCCCCATGGCTCTGCCCTCCTGCCGGGACAAGGTATTGCCTGGGGCAGGGGTGGGGGGCACAGCAGGGCCCCCCATAGTCTGTCTAACCATTTTCTGGATTGGTTCTGCCCCCCCCAGCAGCCAGGCTTTGCTATAAACAGGGGTTTGTAGGGAATTGGCCACTGTAGCTGAAAATGGGGAGGGGGATGGGTACTGCCAGCCCCTAGCTCGATGCCCAGCACACCTCAACCCTCCACCCCCCCACACGCCCCCCCCTGCCCAGGTCGGGATGGGGCCCAGGCTCCTTGATTTTCTAGCAGGAGGATGGGGCCACTCCTGCAGCTGCTCATTTTGTGCCTTAGAAGCTCAGTAACCCCCCCAGGGGGAGGGTAAAAGCCTTCAAGCCTTCAAATTCTATTTTTTGAAGCATCAGAGAGCGGTGAAAGGGCTGCGCTTCCCCTGGCGAGCATCAAGTGATGCCAGGCTCTGAATCCGCCCCATTTGAAGCAGGAACAGGGCAAAGTGCCTCTGCCCCACAGCTGGGGGGTGCAGGGGGTGGACATCTGCACCGCCCTGGGTGCGTGGATGCCCCCTAAGGGCTATAGGGGATGCCCAGAGGAAGATGGAGGGAGGGATGCAAAAGGGAATTGCAAACCCAGGGATAGGCGAGGGGGTGTGGGGGGGCTCTCCAGCCCGAATTGGGGTACAGGGGCTCCGTTGCTCTTCTCCAATAAAGTTTTTGGCAGAGCAGGGCCGGGGTCTGTGTCGCCGGGAGAGGGACACAGTGGCAAGGCCGGGCTGCTGCCGCCCTCTGCTGCCATCTGCCAGCCACTGCCACGCCGGGGGGACCCACGGGGTACAAGCTCCCCCCCAGTCCCTGGAGAAGGCTAATGGCTTAAGAAAGGTATTAAAGGGCTGGAGGGGGTTGGGAAGGAGAAAAGAGGGGTTGAAGAGTCACAGAAAGGAAACGGCCTCAACAAAGGACAAAAAAGGACAATTTTACAGTTGAATATAGTGAATTGAAGCTCAAGCTGGTGCCTTCCAGCATACAGGGGGGGGGCTGCAGGAGCTCTCGCTGCTGCCCTCCAGGTCCTGTTTGGGTCCATCCCTCCTAAATAAGCTAGTCTGGCCCCAAATTGTGGGTCCAGCTCAGAGCACTGAGATAGCCCCTGCCCTGTCTCTAATACACACAAGATTTCTTATTTAAGTTGTTCCCATTAAATACAAACCAGGGGTCAGAGCAAACCCCGACAGCTGCCCTGGCTCTGCACACCCAGGGTGGGAGCCACCTCCAGCCCAGCTCCAGCTCTGCAGGGAGAGGGCCAGCACAGAAAAGGCTCATGGGGACCCTGCTGCCATCCACAACCCTGCTGCAGGGACTTTCCTCTCTCCTGGTGGCGATCTGATGGACGCTGGTTCCTCCTCGAAGCAGCCATTAGTCTAGAAGAGAGGAGAGGGGGTGAGCAGGGGGCTCACCAAGACAACACCCCACGTCCCAGCACATCTCGCCCCCACTTACCCAGCCTGACCTCCGGCGTGGGGGTTTTGCTCTCCAGGGAGCCCTGGCTGCTCTCCTTTCTCCAGCAGCGTCCCCAGGTCGAGCCCCGTGACATGGGAGATGTGGGCCAGGCCAGGAGGCACCGGAGGGAGGTTTCCTAGAGGAAGAACAACTCATCCCCCACCACGGGATCTCCGGCGGCACAGGCTCCGTCCCTCCGCCTCTTCCCTTTGGTAGCCACAGAACTCCCAAATCCAAGGACAGCGCTTTGGTCCAGAGCCGTGGGCTGAAACCCAGACGTGTGGTGGGGATGGGAGAGGCCAAGCTCCCCAAAAGACCCAAGCGGGATTGCACCAGGGACACAGGGTTCCCCCCCTGGCTACATACCTACGTCTCTGCTCAGCCTCCTCCTCCATTTCGGCAGCGCTTTCTTAGCTCCAAGTTCCTGATCTCCAGCAGCTTTTTCTTCTCCAGCAAGTCCAGCAGCGCCTTGTAGTGCTCGTCACCAAAATCCTGCTGCAGCATCTCCTGGAGGATCACCAGCGGGGAGGGAGGGGGGCACCGGGGACGTGCCTGCCTGTGCTGAGCTTCCCTCGGAGGAGAGCTGCTCCCACCGCCTCCTGCGCTGCACCGGGGTGAAGGGAGATGGTGGAGCAGGCAGCCTGCCCGTCCTGCCTGCCCAGGCAGAGATGGGCCAGTTCCCCCGCAGGTTCAGGCTCCGGCAGTAGCTTGGTGGTTCTGTGCTGCTCGGGGGCCCTCCATCTCCTGCTAAAAACCACCCTGGTTAGGTTGGGAGAGGGAAGGGGAAGGTGCTGGGAGCTGTCACCTGGATCATGACCTTGATTTCTCCCAAAAACACAGCCCTGTCCAAGCACCTACAGGAATGAAACCGCCTTTTGGGACACGGGAGCTGACACAGCACACCGCATCGCCGTGCTCAGCCCCATGCAGCTTCTCCTCCAGCAGTGGAGGCAGCGAGGGTCCCTTCTCAGCCTTGGGCTAGCATGAGGCTTCCCACTCCTCCGGGGAGTCCTGCCCAGGCACCCAGCAGGGGAAGAAAAAAAAAAAAACACACCACACAGGAAAAAGGAATCACCCCCACCTCCCACTGGTCCCTGAATTTGGCAAACTGGCCCCTGCGACACGGCAGGGAACGGGGTGGGGGGGGTGCGCCCCAGGAAGCCCAGCACAAAGCAGGGAGCTGGACCCCCCCTAAAACCTTCACAGGAGTGATGGGGACAGGACCAGAGCCCTGGCAGGTCACGGGAAGGCTGATGACTGTCCCCAGCGAGGCCTTTTGCAGGGACACGGAGCGAGGCCTCAGCCCAAGAGCATCCCCTGCCCAGCCCCGCTCCCGGACAAGTCGCCGCTGGGCCTGAGCCAAACCTCCTCCCCCAGTACCCACCAGGGAGAACTTATCCCCCCTCAGCTGTTCCTTCCCAACCGCATCACATGCCGGGCCAGGTTTAAGCAAAATAAAATCAGTTGCCACGGTTACCCGGAGCAGGGATGCTATATATAACAACTGCCAGGCGAGGAGCCCAGCCCATGCGCCCCAGCGAGGGCCACGCTTTTCCACGGGCGACGCGTGGGGAGCTGAGCCCCGGCAGACCCCACGCCGGCTCCCGGGTGGGCAGAGGCCAGTGGCAACCCCACGGGGGTGGGCTGCAGTGCCCCCCGGCTGGGCAGTGGCCACATGCTGCCTGTTGACTGGCCACTCTGTGGCTTGGAGTTGCCCCGCTCCTCGCTGTGGCTGGATTAAATAAACCTCCCTCCTGGGCTCTCCAAAATCCACCTTGTTCCTGCGTTCGTCTGCATCACTGGGTCACCCTGCGCGGGGCTGCCAGCCCTCCGCTGCCACCGACCCCGCAGCAACCTGCCTCTCCTCCCTCCAGCGCATCCCCGCTCCTGCTCTGTGCTGTCAGCTCCTCCTGCCGTCCCTGCGCTCAAGAGATTTCACCCAAAAAAACCCACCCAACCATAAAAATACCAAACCCGAGCGTTCCTGGCGGTGCAAACTCCACTCTCAGCTGGGAACTTCCTTCAGAACAAGGAGCCCTTTGCCAGGGCCGGGTCTGCCTGGCAGCAGCTCCGCACCAGGCTGGAGAGGACGACTCCATCTTAAATAGTAAAAGTGGATAATTACCGATTTCTCGCACCACCCACAAGATTCCAGTTAATAGGGAGAGCTCGCAGAAAGGGAAAAATTAACTCTACAATGCGCTGCGAGCTCAGCTGCGATTCCTGAAGCGCGGCGGAGTGACATGTGTCAGCGCTTGGACCTCCACGAAGCAGTGGGGAGGGATGTCCCTGCTCAGAGACACGCGAGCCAGTGGCACAGTCCAGCCCCCCCGGGCCACGCAGGACCAGTCAGTGTCAGGATTGGGCCATCCTGTGACGGGCACCGTCCCCCGGCAAAGAGCGCAGCTTCAGCCTCTTCCCTCCCCACAGGGCAGAGATGGGCGGTGAGCCTGGCCGTGTCACGGCATCCCAGCTGTCCCCCTTCCTCCCCCAAACCCCCCATCCCCTTTGGGGACAAGACCCCAGGGGACACAGCCAGGGTGTGCAGATGCCATCCCACAGGCAGCCCAGTAAACACAGGTGACGGTGTAACACCAAACCTAAGGGCTTCCCCCCCAAAACGGGCTGAATTAGCTTGCCAAGTCCTGCACACACTGGGGTTCACACCTTGATTTTCTTTGTTGGGTGCTCGGGAGCCTTCCCTGGCTCCAGGCGATCGGCAGCACCGAGGCCATCGCTGGGGTGAGAGCAGACCTCCCTCCTCTTCACCTCGGCCCTGAAAGCAGAACCAGAATCATCCAGAGCAGCCTCAGCATCCTCCTCGGGGTCAGGGTGCAGCTGGGGTACCACTGGCCGGGGGAGCTGGGCGCTGCCATAGCATCTCCCCAGCGTCACAGAAGGGGCAGAGAACAACCCCGAGGGGGCCCCCCAAGACTGAGAGAAACCAGAGATCTTCTCTGGCCACAAATATCACACACACACCCCCCAAAAAAAAAAAAAACAAAACACAACAACATGGCCAGAGCACCCCATAGGGAAGGGCCCCATGCCTTAAGGTCTGGCCCTGGTGAGTGTTTCGTGCTCCAGAAGGTGCCAGTGGTGCAGGGCAGGAGGGGAGGGGTCTGTCCTGTGCCCACCCCACAGCAGGGACACGTCCCCGTCCGCCCGAGTGACTCCTGCCCTTCAGTCCTGGGCCCGGACGTCTCAGGTGAGCGGAGGGGGGAAACAAAAATTGTCAGACACCCAGGAGTCTGCTCCGGAAAACTTCGACACCTTCAGCATCACCTCACCACACCAGCCCGCCCGAGGGACCCCCTAATCGCCCCCCCCTCAGTGCCTGGACCCGTCCTCTGCGTGAAGAACAGGCACTCACGTTTCCAGGGAAGGAGCAGCGGGACGCAGGAGGCTCCGGCCGGGCTCTGAGGATGCTCCGGGGCGGGAGCAGG